GGGGTGCCTTTACGCAGTTCTGTAATTATTCTCGCAGCCTCTAACTGGAGTGACTCTAAGATTTTTTTTAGATTTTGTGAACAATTATACCAAACAACATCTGCATATTCTAGTATAGGTCTAGTATATGATGTATACATTGTGGTTAATGACTGTCTGTCTAGTTTATGTTTCATCATCCTTAAAATATTAATTATTTTGTATGCTTTTTGGTAAATATCATAAATGTGGTCATTCCACTTAGCATCATCACTGAATGTCAAGCCAAGATGTTTATGTGTTCGGCTGATAGTAACAGGTTCATCATAAAAATATACATTTGGGTGATGAGTATTCAGTTTTTTTAGAGAATATAACAGATTCTGTTTTATTTGGATTAAATTTAATATCCCATTGATTAGCCCAGAGTTGTATATTACTGAGATTATCTGTTAGGTTTTGTGCTAACTCGATTGGATCATCGTCTGTTACAGCGTATAGAGAAGTGTCATCAGCAAACAGTTTAATGTCATGAGGAACACAGTCAACAATATCATTAATATAAAGTACAATTAACAAATCTTAATTCTTTATACTGGTCAAGACATTGTACAATAGTATGATATACTGAAAGAAGTTGATTTATAGTAGAGTCCTTAGGCATACATCCAGATTGATGTATAGTAATAATTTCATGTGTAGTAAGATAATTAAACATGTACTTATATATTTTTTTTCTATAATCTTACTAAAACATGATGTAATAGAAATTGGTCTATAATTAGAAATTTCACTTGTTAAACCTTTTCCTTTATAAATGGCATTAATATTAGCAGTTTTCCAACTAAGGGGGATAACTCCTGTTTGTAGTGTCTTGTTGAAAAGCAATGTTAAAGGAAGAGATATAGAATGTTCAAGTTGTTTTATTATTTTAGGTACCATGCCATCGGGTCCAGCTGGTTTTTTACTATTTAGGAGAAGCAAATGGTCATGGACATCTTGATGTGTTATTGTTATGTTTTCCATAGAGTGGGGACAGTTAAATTCAATATTAGGAATAGGTTCAGGATTCTCAGAAGTGGTAGATATAGAGGTAAAATACTTATTAAGATATTCAGCTATTCAGACAAAAGGTTTACAATAATACAGTGAATTTAGCAAAATCCATCGCGACTGAATTATATGAGAAGAAACATAAAAAGGTTGGATCAATTTGTGGCCCACGCAGCGATTTTATTTCATATCTTGCGACAGCGTTGCCAGACTGCAGCCAGTATTGAAAATGACGGTCTCGGCTTCATAGGGTATGATTTTGCCAAATCGGAGCTCCTTGAATTACTCCTGCTCAGGACATGAAATTTTACTTACTCAAGAGCCTTACAAATCACCGTTTCAGTCTAAAGCTGATGATTTTCCCTTATGACTCTATTGCATATTATAAATATAAGGTGCTTGTTAATTATGCTGCATACATATTATTTTTATGGTAAACAAATTCTTAGATTCTGAAACCGGTAAAGATTACATTTCCAAAACTTCAAATTAAGTGACCAATGTTTCTGATTTTCTTCTAAAAGAGTAAAATAGCATTTTAAAGATATTATGATAGCCTGTGCGTAAAAAAAACCCTTTTACAAGTGAAATTATCTATTGTTTAGATCACCTGTCCAAAGGGGAAGTGAGCTTAAACTATGGTGTGGCGTTTGTCGTCAGACCTCAACTTTGTAATTTAAACAACTTCCTCTCAGTAACAAAAAGGCCTATGGTGATGATATTTAAGCAATAAACTGCATAGATGTGGCAGACCAAGTGGTATAAATGCCACATGTGACACATGTGGCATTTATAGCAGTTGGTCTGCCACATCTATGCAGTTTATTGCTTATATTTATATTTCCGTAATGAGAATTTGCCAAAAATAATTTATGTCTTTTTCAACTTTCAAATATCCCGCTTATTACCGTCAGGTCAATATCTAGAACGGCACACAGATAACAGCTGACGTCACGCGCTATTTACCTTTAGTTAATATTTTTTTAATTTATATACATACCATATTCTCAATTCATAAAAGAGTAACAAATAACATTTTGTAAGTAACTAATCAAGTGTCGTAAAACATTTGACGATTTTATTGCGACCTATATCCGGCGCATGCACTCAACGGAAGCCCGCAGTAATCGGGTCAGAGTTATATTTGCAGTCCGGCATGTTGATGTTGATCGTGCAACCGGATAAGGTTGAATTGATGAAAATTCCAGGCTTAAAATTGTTTGTTGATCTCACAGACACTTGAGAGAGGCAGCTGGTGTTCGAGATCAAAGCAGAAGATACCGATACGTTCGGTAGTGACACTGTTTAACTTCAGTTATAGTCTCATAAGATGAAGATGTTATTGGCAGTACTTTAGTAATAATATAGAAGGGCTTTGCCACACCAAATGTAAATATTTGGCCAATAGCAAGGATGACGGGCTACCGAGTTTGTTCAAATGAATGACCTTGACTTATATTAAAGGTCACAGGGGTAAAATATGTTTAACATATTTAAACAACTTCTTCTCAGTAACCAAAAGGCCTAACATGATGATATTTGGCAAAATTCATAACTTCCTCCCTTTTAAGGTCACTGGGGTCAAATATGCTGAAATCTTGCAACAACTTCTGAATAACCGAAAGGTCCAGGGTAATGATATTTGGCCAGAAGCATGACGGGATAAAAACTATAAAATTTCAACCTAATGTCCTTGTGCAAATTTCAAAGTCACACGGGTCATATGTTTAAATCTTTTGATAGCTGCTTTTGATTCAAACACTGCTATTTTGCCTGTAACTGTATTTTAGTCGACTTTTAAGATTTCAAAGTGTGAGATTAATACCAGGTGAGTGATTCCGGCCCATTGGGCCACTTGTTTGATTGGAGAGAACGAGTTCTAGCACGTACATTTTGTTTTAGTTTAATTTCTGTTTAACTTATTCTTCTCAAATTACGTTAAGGCAATGTCTCAAACAAAGACAATGACAAAATGTAAAAATGTGACACTCGCATTGATGACGAAAACAACATAGACATACTTTTTCTTGAATTATTTGGTTTATGTCCTGTTGTGAAACATGTATCCCAAAATAATATAATATACTTGCTGTATGTACAGTACATACATGCATACTATTCTTTTACCAGCTAAACAGAGTACACATCTTTTACAGGATCATCAGTATCTTTACTGTTACATTCGATCCAGATATTGTACAGTTGTGGTACCGCACAACGCACCAAAAATAACGTGCGCACACCGTGCATACATCGTTCACACACAGTCCGCACATCGTCCACATATGGTGCGCACAGCTGTGCGATTTAGCAACCGTTCGCCCCGTTGTGCGCTTCTCTCCGTACAACTGTGCGATTTGGTATCATTTGTAGATCAAAATTACGGAATGACAAAAATACGGAAGGCTTGTGTGCGATAATGTACACTGTGTATATATCTGTAATTTCTCATCACATTAATCAAGATTATACAATTTCACAAGAGAGGTATAATACATTATTATATACGCCCCTGAATTCACAATGTATGTTACACATTATTACATGTACAGCGACCGTTAGGCTGTCAAGAATGGGTTTGGCTCCAAGGTAACAGAACAGGTAAATAACAATATGATAAGTGTCCGGAGTTTTACCTGACCAGTGCCTGACACACAGAGTTGATAAGTTTGACCGTAATGAATAGTATTTGTTATTTGCATTCGTTTGCCTATAGCTCCCATTCACCTGGATTTTCACACCCCGGCCTTACCCGACGAGTTACGTAAGTGCCCCAGGCGGGGGGAAAACTACGGTCCAGGTACATGTACAAAGTGGTTATGTTTACCTGTATACGGGATTGTGTTGTAATTTTACATCTGTCGATTAAGTTTGTTTAAAAACACAGAAAATACAATTTGTAAATATAAGAATGTATATACAGAGAGATAAGTTTATTGATGTTGCTAGAATATAGAAACATACGTAAACATCAAGTTTATATGTTTAAACATGAAACCGTATATATTGTTGAGGCATTCCTCAATTTACACCAACCACGATTGTTATCACACAACGTCTGTCCATCGTGCGCACATATGTGCGCAAGCAATGATCGTCCAGCTTTTTATCGTTCGCCCATCGTGCACACACCGTTCTACCACCGTGCAGACATCGTGCGTACACCGCACACCGTGTAAAGTTGTGCGATCCCACAACTGTACTTTGTTTGGGAATAATGTTTGGAACAAATCTGACCTCGTCATAAGTCTGCTGAGTGGCGATTCACACATAGTCACCTTCAAATGTTAGGCGTTCTGAGATGTAACCAACCAACTTCATAACAGTATATTTGAGTAATTAACATAACCAAATACACTGTGGATGAAGCATATTTCTTATCTTGCATATATCCTTATTCAAATATTTGAGCCTTACTTTCTAACGTGTTCCAATACAGATACTGCCCATGTTGTATATTATCTACGGTTTAACTGAGAGACTGTGATAAAAATGACAATGTCGTCAAGGGTGTTAGCAAACAAATGAATAGGGCACAAGCTTCCAAGTATACTTTCCGAAGGTTCTGGCGTGTCAGTTTCAATTTCTCTCATAGTCACCTTCGAATGTTAGGTGTCCTGAGATGTAACGAATCAGCTTGTAATTTCTCAATTTCTCCCCAGGTGAGGTATTCAATCAGTTACAAGTATCATATACTGAACAGCTAGGAATACTTTGACCTATCAGAACATCATAAGTTGGAACATACTATTTTTAGTCATGTTTTGGAATCTGTAAATTACTAAGCATGGTGTAAATATTTTTGCAAGAATATAAATTGATGAATTTGGTGATAATTTACATGCAGATAGATACACGGCCAATTTTGAAAAAAAATATTTGTCACTTCCTTTAAAGCGTTGAAAATGAATGATGTGGAATTATTGTCTCTTTTAACATAGACATACTTTTGTTTATCGATGTTTCAGCTGGTCCGACATGTACTTCATCCTGTACAGCACCTCAAACATGCAAGTGGACATGTACAAGTAAGTTTATCTGAATAACTAAATTATATGGTTTTTGCATGTACCACACTTCGTTTGAATTTGGATAGCTTGATAACGTAAATGTAACAAGCAACAATGCTGTATACTTTCTGAAAATGCACACCTTTGAATTCCAAATCGATATGATTTAAGTATAATCAACTGAATGAGCGTATCAACAATTGTTTCTGTTTGTTGGTAGAAATATGATATGTTTGTAGCAAAGGTTTAACGCAGTTATCTAAACACTGTTATTATTTTTAATTGCTACTATGAAACTTGAATACTAACACTATTAAAATATTTTCTCAGAATCCGCAGTTGTGATTGCTGGAGGTACGTATTGCCGCAACTGCAGTATTAAACATAACATCCTGGATAATTTTGTAAACTGTAATGCACTACGGTTAAATGTTTGACGTTATTTGAATGAATCGCTGTTGATGTGGTTTAGTTGTTTAGGATTCCTGGCCCTCTGCACTGTTTAGTTATGTTTTGGATACCTTAGAGAAGAATCCGAGCGCGTTATAGTGAAAGTCTTACAATAAAAGTCCTAGTTCGAATTCTGGTATAGTCTGGATGAATTTTTACAGTCAGAACACTGCTGGAGTTTATAGTTTGCCTAATTCATTTCAATTACTTTTTCATGAAAGTTGCATAAGGTATGGCTTTCTTTTCCGTAATCACATATCAAAGTTATAGCTGCTTTGGAAAATAATCATTTAAAATGCATAGTTACAGAGATTTGCATTTGTACGGGGATGCTTAATCATATTTCTCGAAATATTGAAGCCCCAAAATATTTGATATACAAATGAGTTAACTAACAGATAATATAGGTAATATCAATATGACAATACAATTTTTAACAAATGTGGCGTTAATCTGAAAGGTTGAGGGATGGTATAACATTGAAATACAATAAATGACGCCGACACTATGAAAGAACAAAATAATGTTCGAATCAACAAAATTGAATTCATCCATAGTTACATGTATAATTTGAGATTGGCGATGATATTAAGAACTCACAATCTTCCCAAAAAACAACCAGTAATGCCATGTTTGTAAAATATAATGTATAGGATATAACAATGATTCGATTTTGGGTTTTGTTAATTTATGCCTTTTAAATGAAATACTTTTTTTTGTATCTGATACAGCCAAAATAACCGGTTGCACACAAACCGACGATCCTTGTGGAGTTGGAACGTTAACAGACGGGCAATGCAAACCTGGATGCGTAGCACCAACTGGTGAGAAACATTATATCATTTCTTATTACTACATAAAAAGGGGCAATTATTACCTTAGCAGCAGTATTATAAGGGAACAAATCAGCTTTATAATAAGATGGTGGTTTTAAAGGCTCTTGAGTAAGTATATATATACAGTATTTGATATAGCGAACTATCTAGCTAACATAAGCCACTCTAAAGCGCTTATACAGTACATAGGTATACGATTAATACAATTAGGATATACACTTTTTGAGGAATTCGCATGAGCTGCCTTATCAGGCGCTAGCTACTAGTCCTATGCCACCTGGCTAATATCTCCCTATGTGTGTCTGCCTGCGTGTGTGCTGGAGATGTACTGCGTTCTGTTTGTAGTGGGACCGTGCTTCCGACGGCATCTTTTATAGTGCCACTTCACTGAAACTGGTGCACAAGACATTTGGGATGAAATATTTCTTAACTAAGCAACAGAAACAATATATATTGTATGGAAAAAAACAACATTTATATGCCGTTTGTTTTAATTGAACAGCAAAAAGGATGCCATTTTGCCTAAAACATCAATAAACAAGAATATAGAAAATAAGGAATCTGCAATATAATACCAAATTGTAAAGGATGAGTGTCTAAAAGGCCCTATTGTTGGCCCCGGTATTTATGGACTTTCACCTCCTTAATATATTCGAAGATGTCCTATTGTATTACATGCAGAAAAAAACTAAGGTAAAAGTTTGGCCGAAAATAGGTTTTTTTGGGGGGTGGGGATGGGACCAAAACCTGTAGGGTAAATCACAAATATAATTTGTTGCTTTTAAAATTAGCTTGAAAACCAAAATAGTACAATTTCAGTGTTTGAAAACATGTGTACACTACACTGGCATAAATAAAAGAATGGCAAATGACAGAAATGCAATCGTCACTTAAAGATCATTAACATCAAACGCAGGATTACTTCAGCCACAAGTTTTAGCAAATATGATATGATATATATAATATACAATATCAACTATTAATATCATATGCCTATAACATATAAAGGGTGTCCTGTACCGTTTAATTCACTTAATATTGAGAGATATTTGAAATAACCAAGTTTGAGATGTGTCCAGAAGCCATAAACAGTATAAAACAAAAGGAAAGTGTGAAGGGAATATGCATATAATGTAAGTGTACTCAAATGAGTACAGTTGTAAATTTCAACTCGAAATATAAATTAGAAATGACACATTTGAGAAAACAAAACACTTTTCATGTGAAAATTACCTAAAACAACCCCCTGATTTAATCCTTCGTTTTATATAAACGATCTTAAAGTGACGATTGAATTTCTGTCATTTGTCATTCTTTTATACATGCCTGTTTAGTTTACACATGTTCTAAAAAACAGACTTCATACTATTTTGGTTTTTAAGCTCATTTTGAAAACAGCAAACTACATTTGTGATTTACCCTACCCGTTTTGGTTCCCCCAAAAACCAACATTCGGTCAAACATTTACCGGAGTTTTTCTGCATGTTATACAATAAGACATCTTTAAACAAATTAAGCTGGTAAAAATCAGGATATTTTGGGGCCAAAAAAGGGCCTCATAGACAATCATCCTTTGGTTTAATAAAAAGAAAAGGGTTACAGTAGAAATATGGTAAGTGTAAAGTGAAATGAAATTCGTTTAACATTTAACTTAGTAAAACTTTCTATTCGGCTTAAAGGACGAGTATGTTTTAACATTTTTACATCCATCTTGATTGAAATAATTACTTTACAATAGGTAAACGTGTACATGCATGTTTCACCTTTCCTCAATTTTCAACATAGTGCAGAGAAAATCCGCATTGAAATTTTCTTATCGAAATGTCACTCGATGTGGAATTATTGTCTCCTTTTATCTGTTTACCTAACATTATTCTAATTAACAAGTTAATGGTTTATTTAACATAGACATACTTTTGTTTATCGATGTTTCAGCTGCTCCAACATGTACTTCATCCTGTACAGCACCTCAAACATGCCATTGGACATGTAAAAGTAAGTTTATCTGAATAACTAAATTATATAGTTTTTACATGTACTACACTTAGGTTGAATTTGGATAGTTTGATAACGTAAATATAACAAGCAACAATGCTGTATACTTTCTGAAAATGCACACCTTTGAATTCCCAATCGATATGATTTAAGTATATTCAACTGAATGAGCGTATCAACAATTGTTTCTGTTTGTTGATAGAAATATGATGTGTTTGTAGCAAAATGACCGCACTACAATTCAAAAAGTTTAACGCAGTTATCTAAACACTGTTATTATTGTTAATTGCTACTATGAAACTTTAATATTAACACTATGAAATTATTTTCTCAGAATCCAAAGTTGTGCTTGCTGGAGGTACGTATTGCCGCAACTACAGTATTAAACATAGCATCCTGGATAATTTTGAAAACTGTAATGCACTACGGTAAACTGTTTTAAGTAATTTGATTGAATAGCTGTAAATTTTGTTTAGTTTTTAAGGATTCCTGGCCCTCTGCACTGTTTAGTTATGGTTTGGATACCGTAGACAAGATAGCCAAGGAAGCCGAGCTGGTTATAGTGAACGTCTTACAATAAAATCTCCTAGTTCGATTTCTGGTCTAGCCTGGATGAATTTTTACAGTCAGAACACTGCTAGTGTTTATATTTTGCCTAATTCATCTCAATTACCTTTTCATGAAAGTTGCATAAGGTATGGCTTTCTTTTCCGTAATCACATTTCAAAGTTATAGCTATGTTGGAAAATACTAATTTCCAATGCGTAGTTACAGATATTTGCATTTGTACGGGGATGCTCAATCATATTTCACGAAATATTGAAGCCCCAAAATATTTGATATACAGATGATTTAAACAACAGATAATATAGGTAATATCAATATGACAATACAATTTATAACAAATGTGGCATTAATCTGAAAGGTTGAAGGATAGTATAACAATTAAATAAAATAATGGACGCCGACACTATGAAAGAACAAAACAGTGTTCGAATCAACAAAATTGAAATCATCCATAGTTACATGTATATAATTTGAGATTGGCGATGATATTAAGAACTCACAATCTTCGCAAAAAACAACCAATAATGCCATGTTTGTAAAATATAGTGTATAGGATATAAGAATGATTCGATTTTGGGTTTTGTTAATTTATGCCTTTTAAATGAAATACTTTTTTTTTGTATCTGATACAGCCAAAATAACCGGTTGCACACAAACCGACGATCCTTGTGGAGTTGGAACGTTAACAGACGGGCAATGCAAACCTGAATGCGTAGCACCAACTGGTGAGAAACATTATATCATTTCTTATTACTCATAAAAGGGGCAATTATTACCTGAACAGCAGTATTATAAGGGGGAAATTATTAAGCAATTGCACAATGACGCGGAACAGTGATCCTTTTAAGTTTCAATATTGAAATAAACAGAGCTGACAATGTATCGCAAATTCATCAATTGTGGAAAAATAGGTATTTAGTAAAATTCGATAAGAAAACCGGTAATGTAGTTGGAAGGGCGTGTTTCCGTGTTTGGAGGTAACACATTAAACAATGGATACATAAAACCATTCAAACTGAGCACAAGTAATATGTACATGTTATATCGACAAATGTATACAAATATCGGAAAAAATAGGTAAAATATGTCAAAAAGAAATACAGCATTATTTACGTTACTCATTGAATACAATGTACATGCTAATTTTGCTTGCTATATACCACGCTTCCTAACACACAAGACCTAATTACGTTCAATACTATAATTGTTTCCATTTTTAATATGTGTAGCATGTCCGGCGGACTTGTCGGATCGGTGCAAGTATTCGTCCGACTAGCAAGCCAAATGTCCCGGATTCGATTTCTAGCAGGGACATTTATCTGTGCGACAAAGATGTTTAATTTAAGTAACAAGAAACACAAACACACGTCTTGTGTGATAGGACTAGGGGAAATGTGTTTTGAATGACCGTATTTTAGAACCAATGAATAGATATAAGTCAACATTATTCGATAGTGATAAAGTGGTTGTTATATAACTTCCAAAAAAGTTTACACATTTAAAAAAACATTAAAGACGTCATACCAATACAAACGCTTTTTTAAGGATCCCATGTGAAAAAATCATTTCTTTGAAAACTTAAAATATCTAGTGTTTCATTACAACATACTGTCTAAACAAATATTTACTATTTACCTGTTATAATATAATGATACCGTCTTAAGATATACCCTCTTTTTATTCATTCCGAAAACGTATAACAGATCCGATATTACTTTTTGAATTGAGATATTATTTTTCGGAGAAAATAATTCATACTTGGACTACAACGCCATTGTGGTATTAGAAATGCTAAAGCAAAAATGAAAAGAAATGCCAAAGAAACTGCGCTAAGGTAATGATACCACAAAGTTGAGGTGACAGGCCCCAAGCTGAAACGCAGGGCGTTTCATTTAAAAGAATAAACCAATTGAATAATATATATAACGGAATAACTTGTTTCTTGATACAAACAGTTCGCGAAAACCTTCTTCCATTATAATGCCCCACCATGCTTTATGGCAAGAACAAAATAAAACGTTAAGAACATCATACTTAAGAATGCTTGTATAATTTTTTCTATTTTATCTTACATTTCGAACGCCTTTTACTTATTGAAGAATTATATGTCTGTGTTATATCAGATATACCACAACGAGAATGACGAGTTGAAAAAATAAAATAAAATACTAGTGTTTCTGAAGGTGAATAAACGATGAATGGTTCAAGTTTTCTCCTAACACTAGATTTATTTCTTTCTATTGTATGTGTTTGTGTGTAAACAAGAAACAAAAATCATTTAAACACGGACATATTTTTTTGCTGACTATAATATTAATGTCTAAAAATAAACTATTCATGTCAGCAGGCCCGCCACCAAACAATCAACCGGTAGTACCAAAAGTAGACAAACCAGGTATACAGTTGTTTTTATGAAATCCTGAAGTGTTTTGCTCCTAAATAATGATATTTGTCCTTTGAGACAGCATGATGCGATTAAAAAATAAAAATATATGTAAAATGAAAAACAAAAAAACACCGAGTATTGTATAACAGATCATTAAAACATTTTACAATAACAAAGTATTATGAAACATATTGCTGTCATTGTACATACATTCAGTATATTTAGCCTCATATTCAACAGACCAAAACAGATTCGCACGATTAATGTTTCGACCTTTGTACCATCACTTTTTGTTGCTTTTGCCCTCATAATATCATTAATAATATACAACATTTAATATAGCACCAGAACATGCGAACATAACATAAATGTAAACATTCCGTTTTACAGTTTTACGATACATGACCGAAACAAGTGGTACGATGGGTGAATTTTGATTCCATAACCTGTATAACATGCTATTGAATTATTTTCTATAACTTTTTCTTTAACGTTTAAAAACGTTTTCTCAATTTAAGCATATGACAACACATATGCATATCTTACGTTATTTCCTTAAAAGACGAAAAATAGCGATTTCTTACTCGAGTTATCTCATGAAATCGGAAATTTGACACACACATTACAATAGATGGACGATTTTTGATCAAAATATCAAATATAGAATGTTTTATTCAAAAATCCAAAATGAAAAACCGTCCCATTGAACAATTAATATCCACAGGTGGTTCGACAGGAATAACAACAACAGCCGCAGGAACAACAGGTAAACTTGTTATTTATGTATGTTTGATGAATAATGATTTTTCCACATGAATTTCTCTTCACCGAGACGACTAAATATCATTAGAACACAATTAACAAAGAAACTCAACATTAACACAAAAACTGATACATGTAACTCATCTATTTATACCAGGCAAAAATGGATCCATAAGGCTTGGAGTTTCTCCCCTGATGCTGTTGTGTGGAATCTTCACCAAGCTATTTCTGTATCCGTGATGGGAGCCCCATCCAAAACAAGATTGCCATCCTGAAACGACATCACCTGTTGAGCACAATGACGGATGACATCTGATTGAATTTTTAGACATTTAGATGTTATGAAAAAATGACACAATCAGCGTTAATTCTTTCACAATCGGATCAAAGTGTATCGGATATTGCTACGTGGCTACTTACAAATAGAACCTTGTAATTAAATAACTAGATACTAATTATATAATCATGAACGCTTATTCAAGAAGACCGCATGCATTGAAACATATATGTATATCCAGCAATATGTTGAGCTGCGGTTTTAAATGTCACATATATACTTTATCAATGATGTTTTCATGATAAAATGTATGCCTTCCGTAGCATAACTGTGATATTTGACTATATTTTACATTGATTATAAATAAAAATCCCTAAAGCAAAATATGTTTAAGTGTCCATTTATTATGTAAGGGGTGACATCTTATTATATTACTATACATTTTTAGTTATTCAATCAACTATTTTTAGTAAGTGTAATACAGGAAAGGAATGCGTCAATGCTACACAGTGATTATTTTTATATGGGGTTTTGCTGTTCAAACATATTTGATAAAAAACAACCAACGATAACTTGATTGTTGTTTGAGATATCACATACAACTAGCACAATTACATTGTACCACATGCTGCAGTTACGCTCAAATGTTTAGTTCTCCTGATTTGGTTTTGAGGTTGTCAATTGTTTCCCTTTTTAAACAAAGACTAAGGTGTTGTGACACGTATTTATACATATATATATATGTAAACAGAAAAAAATCTCAACATCGAGTCTTTCCAACTTATATGTATATATATATTGCAGTTCATCTTGTTTTTGGATACGTTCACATTCATAAAAGCGGTAAAATATATCCTGCCTCTAATCCAATGATATTTGACTGCTGCAAGCTCCACTTCTTAACTTTTCATATTACGTTATATATAAACATAATATACCCTAGTGATTAAATGATATTGTAAATAGGGGATCTTACATTTATATGTGTTTCCCATCTAAATAAGGTAAACGAATTGTGAAAATCTGCTAAGTTTTTTTATATGGTACTGTAGTTAATGTTGCTCCTGTTCTTCATGCAAATAATACTATTTACCAAATGTCTAAATTGATGACGTCACGATGTTTAAAGAGCGACAATGGAGTCGATTCTGGTTGACGAATATTTGAAAGCCGGTTTCATATCCATATATTAGCCATTGTTGACACTGTACATCGATGTAATGTAAATGGTAATTTTTAGAACTGTATAATTCCCCCCAACAGGACGTCTGTGTGCTTAAAAATCCAATATGTTCTCTTCCCTGCATTTAGAAACGAATCACTGAAACCTACCAGTATGAATGTGTTCTGCTCATGCGTTGTCATGACCGCTGTCATAGGACGGATGAATAGGAACACAGAATAGTTCTACTGGCTCTGGTAACATTAACAAAGTACATCTTTGTATCCAATGTAGAAGTGAAACAACATCACCTTAGATACAGAGACAAACTCTAAACAATTGATATCTTAGTTGATCTTAATATTACGAATGATAAATGTACGAAATAATACATTTTAGCTAGATCAGTTGATTTCTTGATCTATTGATCTATTGACGCAATAAAACTGTTTAAATAGACGTCGCATTGTATATGGTGTAAACTAAACTGTATTCAAAATAACACAAACCGCGTTGAAATAAAGCCATTAAAAGGGTGCACTTTGGTGATATCAATGTTAATGGTGCTCAGTTTTACCGGTCAGGTAACATAACTAAAAGTGCACATGCCCTTAACAGGTCACCATAATGCTGATGACGATATGTGTTGACTACGTTATAGTGGATGTGAAAATACAAAATACAAAATCACATTTATTTAAACGCCATAGAATAAAAAAATGTATTTGTACTGTTAACTATCCATCTCAAAAAAACGTATAATCAAGAAAAGCTTATTGAAATATCTCTATAACTGTATAGGGTTTAACGTCTTATCAGCAGCTAAGACCATTTTAGGACATGCTTCCATGTGTGTTGTGTTTGCGTGCATGCGAGTATGTTTGCCAGAGACAGGGTATGTTTGTGTAATTTCCTCATCGTAATAGCGCGGATTTGATTTCAACTATATAGTGCTATCTCACTAAAATACCATGACCATCACCCAACACAGTATTTCGCCAAGTTATATTATCTTAGCAATGAGTGAACCAGTTGTTGCCATCAACCTCAATGCTGCACGTTAAGCAGGGATAACGACTACCATTTTTAAGGACTTTGGTATGACTTACCATAGCGAACGATCAGCATTATTTCATATCTGTATATATGTAATTACAAGTAATACATATATTGGCATAGAGGTAATAACGACAGTAAAGACAAAGGAATTTGTCACATTGTCAGTTCAATCCTCCCATTTTTGAAGAGAGAATTTGTAAAATTACTCTAAAGCGCTTAACAACATATGGATTATAGTAATGGTTATAATTGTGAAAACAAAAAACAAAGGCTTACACTCACTTTTATACATTTAAGCAAGCAATGTGCACATTTACATGACGTCTTTGCATTGATTCTAAAAAGCAGAGGTGAAGATGTGAGTTTTGATGTCCCTCTTGAACTTGGCCAGGGTATTTTACTTTCTAATAGCAGATGGTAAGCTATTCCATAACGTAGCCGAAACCCTCCCAAAGCATCTGTTTCCGTAGGTCACAGTACGAGATTTTGTGACACACAACAAAGATTCTGACTTCGGCCGCAGTGATCGTGACGGCTGATACAGGGTAACAAACTCCTGTATGTACCGATGAGCTGTTCCATCCAGTGCCTTTTATGTGTACACCAGAATTTTGTACTGCGATTTGTATCGTACAGGTAACCAGTGCAACGAATAAAGCACAGGTGTGATGTGCTCTCTCTATCGAGTACGAATAACTAGCCGTGCTGCAGTGTTCTGGACCCTCTGCAGACGACTAGTTAGTTTGTCAGATATACCACAGAGCAGGGCGTTACCATAATCCAACCGAGATGTAACAAGTGAATGCACCACAATCTTGTATGCATCTGCAGTTATAAACTGCCGAATACAGCCGATGTTCCTGATCTGGTAGTAACAGGATTTGGCAATAGCGTTCACTTGTTTCTCCATGTTCAGTGAACTATAAAATTATACCCCTAGGTTTTTAACAGCTGGAACAGTCTCAATAGTTCTGGCACCGACCTTGAGCTGGAAAGCCTTTGCTTGCTAATACTCTGGGGAAAAGACGGCGTTCATCCAGATACTGATATCTGAAAGGCAAGCTTCCATACTTTCTGAGACTGTATTCCAACTGTCCTATGGTTTGATGACCATGTTAACTTGTGTGTCATCGCCATAACAATGGTAGCGAAGGCTATGGCGACGACAAATCTCACCAATCAGTTTAGAGTACATACAATATTTTCGTGGTCCTAACACCGACCCTTGAGGAACCCCGAAATCTAGTACTTTGTCATGTGAGGTGGAAGATCCGATGGCAACACACTGTCGTCGTTCACTCAGATAAGACTGTATCCAGCATAGTGCGGTATCAGTCACTCTATAAGAGTATTCCAGACGTTGATAGAGTATGCCATGGTCGATGACGTCAAATGTAGCTGACAAGCATCACTCTGCACGTGGTATCCATTACAGAAGCTATATCATTATGTACACGTAGGAGGGCCGTCACAGTAGAGTGTACCATGCGGTAGGCAGATTGCATGTGTGCATGGAGATGAACCTCTAAACGGCGGGACACAGCCTTCTCCAAGATCTCCAAGAAAAGGCAGATTTGAAACCGGGCGGTAGTTTTTCAACTGCTCCTTGTCCATTCCAGGGATTCTTTAACAATGGTCTGACATGTGTCTCCTTGCAACATAATGGAACCTTTGACTCAGACAATGATTTGTTCATGATTGAGGTATTCAAAGGAGGCAGTGCTTCAAGACATTGCTTTAATAGGTCTGTAGGCAGTGGATCAAGCTCACAGGACTTCGATTGCGAGGTCATGAAAATGTTGCGCAACTCTTTCTGGGTTGTTGGTGAGAGCTTTAGCATTGGTTCCCCATCAAATGCAATGTCAGCAGTCACGACAGAGATGACAATGTCAGCAGAGGAGTTCACTTCGGCAATGTTTTTCTTCATTGAGCTGATTTTATTCAGAAAGTAATCACTGAACTTGCTTGCTAAATCTTTTTCAGAATTACAGCTTGGTAGGATAACTTCACCTGTCTGTCCCATTACACGACAAAATATAAGACATAAACAGAGTTCAAGTAATCACTTTTGAATCATTTTTTACAATACTTATTTTTCAGTAATAAACGAAATATTTCTATTTTCCTTTATTTTAAAAATAAAACATGCAATAGTTCCATCTTCATTGGTACAAAGAGGTACATCTCAATTTTATACCGCATTGATTTTGAAATTGTGAATAAAAAGATAATAAAAATAGCAAAATGTTACATTTTTATTGCGCTTTTCTTATATAAGCAAACAAATCCTATTTTTTACTTTAGCACTTTGAACAATGATGGTTCTTCTTCCGGTACGATGTTAAGTTTGATATTATAACGACGAAACTTTCCCCTCAGGAAGTAAATATATTCGATTAAGCAGGATCCTTGTTTCTAAGATGGCGTTGTCCGATCATTTCTTACGGTCTCATGTTATGCGGTACATCAAGGAATACTAATATTTTTGTACAAGTAGCTCAATCTTCGCTTGTAGTACGGCGTTATCTCAGACACTTACACCTCAAAAACTTTAATTTAAATCATTAATCAAATGAAATTATACTTTTTTCATCATAGCTATTAAAATGATAATTTGCTAGTATTTAAACAAAGCATATTAAGCTAAATGTTACATATATGATAGTGCACATGTGAGCGTATATCAAGTTGACACTACACTAATGGAATTGTATTTGTCTGCAGAGGTACTTAATTGGCGTTGCGCCGCTGTTATATGCAGAGAAAAACATAATGTGCATGCAAATGGTATGAATATGGACGTATTTTAAACGGACACTTATTCGGACAAACACATCAACATTATGTTTTACCGATAAATCTTGCCTGTATCAACAAAAACAGCTCTAATTACTTTAAAGCATCACGCACAATCGCAGTGTAACCATGCAGTATCTTTATGCTGCTAAATCGATAAAGAACAATAATATAATAACAAAAGTATTTTTTGTTATAACATGATGATCTATATATAAATGATGACCATTGTTTGGGTATACGAACGTCATTCGTAAGGATTAAAAATGGACCAATTATAGTAAAACGGATAGCTTAATAGACGTCTCGAAATCATGATCTTTCTATCCCTAAGCAGACATCAAACCATACGATTTTTGTT